ACTATGGATTCAGTGGCTATCAGGTGCCTGCCATTCCTCGAGCAACCAGATCAGCCAGGGTTAGTGTGATAGTTTTGTATTTCATATTTACTTGCAAATATTCTGATCTATTTTGAATCGCTACTGTCACTCCTTTTTGTAGAAAAGAGTTCCGTTTAGAAAGAGAGTTGAAGACAACCAGATAAGTGCATTTGATTTGCTGGCCACTGTTGCTGGAAAGTTATTGCTAGATAAAGAAACTGCTTCAAATACTACATGGACTGCGGAAGATCAACCTGCAGCTGAAACAAATACCATAAAAGAGGAAAGGGGGGATGTAAATCAGTCATTGAAGCTGGAATTTTGCAATCAAGACGGTGCCAATACCGAATTCATTGTTTCTGAACCCATTCCACAAACTAGTGACCCAAACTGTAGTTCTAAGGAATCCCCTAGTCTTCGAAATGGTGCCCTTGTAGCAACTTCTGATTGCTTAGAAAGAGTTGATGCTCAGAAGTTGATGAATGACAAAATCAAGAATGAAATGGAAGGTTTTCCCTCTGTGTGTGGGACATCTGGTGATTGTATTAAACCAGTGTCTGGAAATAAAGTGTTGACGGATGAGGAACTGGATAGAACTGATAAGGCTTCGATTGGAGAAGTGGCTGATAAATGCTCCTTTGAGGATGCACTGGTCTCAGATGTTAAACCCCCTGCTCTACTTAGTTCAGACTGTAGTTTTAAGGCACGTTCTTATAGGGACCACAATCCCCTTGTTTCTTTTCCCGCAAAAATGGGATGATGTAAATGTAGTTAGTAGAGATGATGATGAAAAATCTTCAGGGTGTACTCACCCTAGCCCCCTAAGAGAACCATTTAGGTCAACCCCTCATATTGGAGACCGAAGAATAAGGAAGATTCTGGCTTCTAAATACTGGAAAGTTGCTTCAAGATCGAAGAATGTGATGTGTTCCAATTATGGTATGTGGCTTCTTGTAATCAAAATCATTTCAATTTTGAGTATATCATCTGGTAACATATGTAGGATATTTACAAGTGTGTAATTTTTAATTAAATGAATATCTTGATCCTTCAGATGAGAATTTGAAGTCTGGTTACTGTAATAGGAGAGCTTATAAACGCTTAACATCTGGAAGGAACTATCCTTTCAAAAAAAGGAAGTTTTTCTACTGTAGCTCAGAGTCGAACTCGGACGGAGGAACCAGCTGTGAGGGCATTTCTGATTCAGCTTGGAACAACAACAACAACGGAAATACTTCCTTTCTATATTCAAAGATGCATGGAGGTGAATTAAATACTTCTCATCTGTAACTACGTTTCTTGGTGTTTATTGCTAACATCTGCATTTTGCTGATTTGTTCTAAATCTTTTGCAGTCACTGGAGAATCATCTTCACCAGCAGACCAACACCAATCATTCACCTCTAGGAATTCCCACGGTATGAGAGCCTTTTATGCAGTGATTCACATGTAACTCTTTTCACTTGATTGGTATGTGCCATTGAAAGAGGTTCTTACATCAAGATGTCTTTCCCTTTACTCAGTGAAGCTCAGGATCAAATCTTTCAGGGTGCCAGAATTGTTTATTGAAGTTCCAGAATCTGCAACTGTTGGTTCTTTGAAGGTATACTGATCTATGATTCTGATCATTGTGGTAGAATGTCGGTTTGACTGCCGTTCCAAAATTTGACAGTAGAGTGCTTAGAGATATCTCTTGGATTTCTTTTTGCTGCTTTTGGACCTTGAAGAATTATGTCTTTTCTATTAGTATCACTATCTGCATTTGTATTTCTTCCTTAGAGCACCATCTTACTTCAATCCGTGATGGATACTTGGACTGTATCTTTCATAAATTGTAATTCCACTGTCTGGTCTCATCTACTGGCTGGCTTGGTAATTACATTTCCTCTAATGATGTGAAATTGATCTGTAGAGGACTGTAATGGAGGCAGTGACGGCGATACTTGGAGATGGATTGTGTGTTGGTGTACTTCTTCAAGGAAAGAAGGTTAGGGATGACAATAAAACTCTGCTGCAGACGGGGATTTCTTGTGATAATCAGATGGATGCTCTAGGTTTTAGCCTGGAGCCCAACCCTTCTCATACTCCCCCTTCATTATGCCCTGGGGATTCTCCCTTAAAACTTATCCGTGACACTCCACTACCTGTATATAGGTAATAAAAATAGTTTTACAGGTTCAGTAGATATCCACTTGTCTGTGATGGTTTAAGTATGGTCTCATGTTGTTCTAGACTTAAACATATGAAAAGAAGTATTTTTAACTTAGTGGTTTTTTTCTTTTCTTCTTTTTGTTGTTGTTGAAAACGGGATAATGTTGCAATTGCTGGCACCTATTAGAATCTTCATCTTCTAGGATCTACCTTTTTCTCCTAAATACTTGAAGAAGATGCCAACTTTTTGTTTGATAACAGTATTCTCATTCAAGAGGTGTTAGCCTTGAAGAGCTGGCTGACATTTTGTCTCATTCAAGATTCTTATTCATTCCTCTTTCAAATACTCTTAACCATCAGATCAAATAAGAGTTATTTGGTTACTGTGCCAGATTCAGTTTATGATTTAATACTGTTTTTTGGCAGGTATCCAGCAAATCCTGGTTTAGATAATCAGGTTACTTGTGATCTCTCACCCAAGCCTCGCAAGCCTAATTCTGGAAACTCCATTGAAAGTAATAATGGTTGTGCATCCACACCTACTGACACATGTTTGACAAAAGCACACCTGAATCTAAAGCATTGATAGCTGCACCTGCATTGAGCATGGAGACATTAGCTGTGGTTCGAGCTCATAAGAAACCCAAGCAATCTGAAGTTGCACAGCGAAGAATTCGTCGACCTTTCTTTATTACTGAAGTTGAAGCCTTGGTTCAAGCTGTTGAGAAACTTGGAACCGGAAGGTATGTTTGAACCTAACCAAGAAACGCTGCTTATTTGCTAATTTTCAATCAATTCATCATGATACCCAGTCAGATATTTGCATGAATGCTTGCTCTGTGAAAAAAATGTAATCAAAGCTCAGAAGATACTCTGAAAGTTGTTTTCATAAAAAATGTGGATTTAACTTGGAAACTGTTGGCCTATTTGTGGGGTTAGGCATACGGTCATGGTTTAATTGGCTTTATTGATATGCAGGTGGCGCGATGTTAAATTAAGAGCTTTTGATAAGGCGAAGCATCGCACTTATGTTGATTTGAAGGCAAGTCCAAACTCTACTTTCATAAAGCCACTGCAAAAACTGTTTATCCTTATCTTAGGCTAATCTCTCGACCTGCTGAGTGCTGGTGAATCTGCTTCTTACTCGTATCTTGTTTATCATATTTTCATGCCTATTACCGAATGCCTAATTCCAGTTTGTATCTTTTGGTTTTAGCTTAATACAATTGTATATTTGTAATATGGCTTGCTGGAACTTTATGCTGCTTTTGATCTTTCAGTTGGAAATGGGAAACAAAGAGCGTGTTTCTTAGTCATCTTGATAAGTAGATCGAAAACATTTCCATATGGTTGTGATGGTTTTTATTGGGCTCGTGCAGGATAAGTGGAAAACTCTACTGCACACTGCAAGGATATCCCCACAGCAAAGGCGCGGGGATCCGGTGCCCCAAGATCTCTTGGACAGGGTTCTAAATGCACACACCTACTGGTCCCAGCAGCAAGCCAAGCAGCAGCCGTTGCCGGAAAGCTGCCTTCTCTATCATAACTCTAATATGATAGCTAGTAGCCGACGTGATGTTGATGAAAAAATCTTAGCTTGATGATGGGTTTAGGACATTGTCCGTTGCTTTGTTTTTCTTATTGATTTCTTGTATTTGTATCATGATTATGTAAAAAAAAAAGTTAAGCCAAGGATGAAATAGAAGTACTATGTAATATTTTATGGTATGCTCTGCCAATAACGATACTTGTCCCTTTTGTAAATGGTTGTAATAAGAGCTTGCTACGTGCTAGCTGAATTGAACTTGGTGAATATGTAAATTATTTAGATTAAATCTTGAGGTTTAAAGGGCGACACTTTCTTTAAAAGAAAATACCCATTCATGAAAAACCCAAATTGAAATTATAAATAGAATAATTGAATCTTTTGGCATCTAAAATGAAGAGGACGTATGCTTATCATTTGGCTAAGATCATTAATATTCTTTTCTGGCATGATCATGCACTCATTCTCCTATTGGTTGGCTTGTACCAGCTCTTGGAACGTCACCCTCAGTCTCTTTCACAAAAAGCAATTTATGCATTATTGGAGTTTGAATTTGCTAAAACAATAAAGGTATCAGATAAGTAAATTGAAAGGCTGACAATAGAATGGATTGGTTTTCTTTCTTTTCTCTGATTTTTCGAGTCTGGAAATGTCTGATCTTGAAAAAGAGATGCATGTTAGCCCCTATAAAATGTTAAGGATTTTATTTTTAAGGAAAAAGATATTTGAGAAGTGGGTTTTGAGTAATGAAATTGTTATGTTATTTATTTATGGATTAAATTGTTTTGTAAATAAATTCATACATTATTCGTATTAATCAAATTCATTAATGGTTTTGGGTTTAGATTAATATATCATTTATTATAATGGAAAAAAGTATATAACATAAATTATCAATGCATCAAATTTACATAATATAAAACACATTTAATACAATTATTATAAAATAAATAAATTAGTTCAAGCATTAAAAAGCCCATTCTCAAAACATAGGTTGCTAGTTGAAAGAGAAATGTTTGGAAGGGATGCCATTAATGTTATGGCATGTGAAAGTATGGAAAGAACTGAAAGACCAGAAACATACAAGCAGTGGCAGCTGAGGAACCGGAAAGCTGGTTTGAGGCAGCTTCCATTAGAGCAGAAGATATTGAACAGAACAAGGACTTCTGAAATCAGACTACCATAAGGGTTTTGATATTGAGGTGGATTGCCAATGGGATAGGGAAGAGAGAGAGAGAGTAATGCAACTTAAATGAACACATCTGAAAGTTAAGAAGCTGATATTTTAATAAAACGAGAACAGAGTTACACATTGGGTTTTGGGAACATGAAAATAAATTTTAATGTACTCGCTATGTTGAAGACAATTTCATATATAGGATCACCTATTAGGCTTTGGTGGCCTGAGAACACTCCAGTCGAGCTTCTCACGCTTTGACTGCTTTTTGGAGGAGGGCTTGCTGCTGCTTGGCGATGAGTGAGAGGCATTACTATTTTTGGGCGATTCATTTGGATGTGCTGGTTCAGAAACTATGTCGGACTGTTTTCTCTTAAGGTCTCCATTACCTTTGTGTTTATCCGTGCTGACTTTAGCACAATCAGTCGCTTCAGATGCAGATCCATTCTCACTGTTGCAATTCAAGGGCAAAAAGTCAGATAAAAATATGCATCTCACGAGTTAACCATTGCAGACCCCCTACACGTATCTAATGTTTGATTCAAATCTTTCATTTCTTAAGACTTTTATAATTACAACACAATACTGCAACATTATTTTCCAAAGCTTTCAGGAATAACCAGAACATTAACAACAGCTCATGAAAAAAGAGAAAGAAAAATAATACCCACCTAGACAAAGTCCTTCCACCAGAGGCATCTGGCCGACACTCATTTGATGCTGCTTCATTCAGTTTCTACCATGACAATGCTTTCAAATGAGGACAAAAGCAACAAGAGAACCAGATTAAATGGAAAGTTATTGGCAAGAATTCTTAGGTCAGTTGACCCTTTAAACTCACATCAATAGAAGGATTGAAACTTTGAAATGACATCCGCCCAACAGTTGCTCTGGGACGAGGATCCCCTTCCAATATGACAACACTGAATGTTTGCAAAGGTAAAAAGTTGTAGTTAAACAAATTGAAACAAGGACAAGTTCACAAGCAAGCAAGCAGATCCCACACGTACATCTTAGCAAATCTATTTTCACACAGGCCCTCCTTTCTCATTACATTCGGTTCACAAAAATAATTTTCCTGCAGAAGAATTTAATTATTAAGGGTCAATTTCAATGGTCTGCTTTGGAAGAATCTTAAACTCCCAGGAAGCAAAAACTATGAATTGTTTGTTCTCTCGCTCGTTTAAGGATAAGTTATGGAGCAAACGAAGTATACTATAACCCATAAATAAGCAATGGTACAATCACATCGGATGCATGATAATGTCAAAGGTTTGTAGCATATCATAAGAAATCTAAAACAAAGCTGAAGCAAAAACAAAATTCAATATAGTTTAGAGATTTAAGACAAATCATAAACAAAGGGTGGAACTTTTAGTACCATTTTCTAGTAATAGTATTAATCCCTTCAGGTTTAACCTCTTCTTCCTTAATCGCTTTCTCCTCTCTCTGAGCTGCCCTTTGCATGAACTATTATTGCATGAAATAGAATGAAAAATAGAACTCGAGCAAGTTAAAAAATAACAACTTTTTCCAACTCGAAAAAGAAACGAAATCCAGGTGAATTAAAACAATGCCTAGTTCAAAATTCAAATAACCCTATGAGAACAAACGGAACCTATAATACAAAAACTTCTGCAAATTCAAAAGAAAATCAACAAAAATAATAATAATAATAATGATAATAATAATAAACCAGATACATTAAAACAAAACCCAAAAATATCAAGGAGGAAAACTACTAAGAAAGAGAAAAAAGCTTCGCGCTCTTGGATTACCTTCAAACCCCTCAAAGTACTGGAGAGCTCTCGCTTCGCCATTAAGGAGACAAAATTTCCTTCAGTGATAAATGAAGACCTTGGAAATAAGATTATTCGAATTAATTATTGTCGCAACAAGGAGTCTTGGTATTTTGAAAGAGGGAAATAGCAGTAGAAGAAAAGAGAGGAGGGGGGGGGGGGTTTAGGGAAATAGGAGTACGAACAGGGCCGATCTAGACGAACCACTGATGGGTTCAAGTCTTGGAAGGCCGGCCCTTCAATTGCGGCTGGCATCTATTACGGGTTATGTATATTTGATGACTGCCTTCTCAGCACATCTCATTGATTTTCTTGAAAAAAATAACTTCAAATATTATCACGGTATAGTAAATATATCATTTCTTTTAAACGTAATACAAAAAATATGAATCTTCTAAATCTTTTACCATTTCATTTATGATATAAACTTAATGCAAAAAATATAAATAATCGATATTGAAGGATTTTGTGAATTACTCCCGATATCCTTCAAGAAATAGACCACACAGATGAACCCAAAAGAAATAGACCCCTCAAGTATTTAATAAAATAATGTACAAATGATACACTGTTAAAATGCAGCGTATAAAACAGTTGTGGAAAGAAGAAAATTTATTAACTCAAATGTACAAAATTCATGATAACCGATCAAGTTAGAACAACCTGTGGAGGAACAATGGGTGTGGATCCCTCGTCGTCTGCAGCTCCACCCTCTGGAGTTTGCGTGCTCTTCTTTTCTTCATCTGCAAACCCTTGCTTAAACCTGTCATAGTTTGTAAGTTCGCTCGATTTAAATGGTCGTTCCCCCAAAATCCAAACCAGATCATCTTGGTGAAGAACTTCCTTTTCAAGCAACAATTCAGCAACTTCCGCTACTTGATCTTTATGTTCCTCTATAAGTTGCACCGTTTTTTTGTATGCCTTGGCTACCCACTTACGCACTTCGCCATCGATGATAGCACCAGTCTTATTGCTATAGGGCTTCAACATCTCAAACCCATCTTCCCTCTGAGGGTAAGAGAGGAGACCTACCTTGTCACTAAAGCCATAAACTGCCACCTGGGCGTAGGTCATCTTAGTCACCTTTTCCAAGTCATTTTGCGCACCAGTAGATATCTTTCCCAATAAAACCTGAAGCACGGGGAAAAAATTAGTTTAGATGCATACATTCCGTAACTAAAATACTTGGAGTTCTAGTTTGAGCCTCGATGTTGGAATATTTTGGTATTTGGAATATAACACGACAAAAACCCAAAACTCAAAAGGGAGCATACAAGTAAATATTTCGTTGAATTCTTGTTTCTATTTGCACCCAACCATGCATGGAATTGGAAATTTACCTGTTCGGCTGCTCGGCCACCAAGGGTCATGCACGTCATATCAAAAAGCTGTTCTTTCGTCATGAGAAGGTTTTCATTTGGAACGTACTGGGCGAATCCAAGTGCTGCTGTTCCGCGAGGAACAATTGTCACTTTCAAGAGGGGTTCAGCATGTTCCAAGAACCAGCCTGCAACAGCATGACCTGATTCATGATAAGCAACTGTCTTCCGCTCGAGTTTACTGATTACCTAATTGAAACCCAGAAGAATTTGGTTTTAGAGTGAAAGAAGAAAATTGGAGGAATAAAATAATGATGTAATGTTATCTAATCACTACGCTGGACTTAACATGCAATGTAATAATCACCATCTCACACTAATGGCTGATAAAAAGGCAATGTTCCACCCACTGAAAGAAGTTACAGGTTCTAATTTCAATATTCTCAAGGATATTAGATAAATCACAAAAACGAAAAACAACTATAAGAGATAATTACCCTGTTCTTCTTCTCAAGACCACCAATGATCCTGTCTATAGCAGCCTCAAAATGTTCCATTGTGACCTGTGCTCCTCCACTTCTTGCAGCAATTAGTGCAGCTTCATTACAAACATTTGCAATGTCTGCTCCAGCAAAACCAGGAGTGAGAGCCGCAAGTCTTTCAGAGTAATATGATGGCTCATGATCTAGCTTTATCTTCCTTAAGTAGACCAGGAATATCTGCTCACGGCCTTTAATATCAGGTTTATCTATTGAAATCTGACGATCAAATCGCCCTGGCCTCAATAAAGCTTTGTCTAAGATATCAGGCCTATTAGTACCAGCAAGCACAACAACTCCCGAAGTAGTTCCAAATCCATCCATTTCTACAAGCAATTGATTTAGCGTACTTTCACGCTCATCATTAGAACCTGAGAAACCACCACGACCTCTTGCTCGACCAATCGCATCAATCTCATCAATAAATACTATACTAGGAGCACACTGCCTAGCTTCTTGGAACAAGTTCCTCACCCTGGATGGTCCAACACCAACAAACATCTCCATGAAATCAGAACCTGATATTGATAGAAAAGGTACACCCGACTCACCAGCAGTTGCTTTTGCTAGGAGAGTCTTTCCTGTACCTGGTGGACCCACCAACAGAGCACCTTTTGGAATTTTAGCTCCTAGGTCCTCGTATTTCTTTGGGTTCTTAAGGAAGTGCACAAATTCCATGATCTCTTGTTTTGCCTCATCACAGCCAGCAACATCTTTGAAATAGACCTACACAGACCAGAAACAGAAAAGATAGGAAAATAACGGCCGAGTACCTTCTCATATTCTAGCAACACAAAGAAAAGCCAAGCCCATGAATTTAGGAAATAAAGACAAAGAAAACTGGAAAATTTTCAAATTCTAGTTTTACTTTTTATGTACTAGGACTCAAAACAGAAAACTAACCTTATTCTTGGAATTTTTATCCACTTTGGTTATATGGGCTTTTCCTATGTTGAAAATTCCACGGCCACCCTTACCACCACCTCCTCCAACACCCAGTCCACCTTGCATTCTCCGGCCCATATACATAAGGGTTCCAAGAAGTAATAATGTGGGTGCAAACCTCATCAACTCCTGGTACCACATCACATCAGAGGCATATGTCACCGGAACAAAATCATGTGGGTCAATCCCTAAAGCTTCTTGGGCTTCTTCCAACTTCTCCTCAAAAGACTCAATACTTCCAATAGTGAAGTAGCATTTGTATTCACCTCCATGTCCTCTGACAGAAGTATCATTCCCAAGACCTTGGAGAATATCATCACTTGTTTGATTGTATGGCGTGTTCCTCACATACACTTTTGCAACTGACTTATTAGAAACAACTATATGGTCAACTAAACCAGATTCCAGGAACTTGTTCTTGAACTCTTGGAAACTAATCTGCAAGAAAGATTTCCATAGCATACCAATCAAAGCTTAGAAAATAGATGAACATTGCTTATATTTAAAAACCAAACAAATTTAGAAGAAAGAATAAAATTTCCATACTAACAATGATCATTACTGATTCTGTATACGTTTTGGTTCATTTAATTTTTTTATCCACCTAATACTCAATTCTAGATCCAGATTCCAAAACCAAATAAGACTCATTACAATGAACTAACTAGTTACCTTGAACTGTGGATGGCATGGAATGCTAAAACCGGGGGAGAATTCACCCAATCAGAGATGAACATGCTTTAAAATACAAATCACTTGTAAGAGGAAAATGCTTAATGCAACCAAAAAGTTACTAGTAAATACAAAGGGAAGAAAATGTTTTTTTACCATATGCTTATACAAATGACTCAATATTCTAGTATATATGTTTTTAAGCTCAAATTATGAACATTCCTAAAGCATTGAAAATAGATCACTGTCACATCAAAGAAAAAACAAACCGACTTAAATATCCAGAAATTAATTAGGGAGAAATATTTTGGGAATTGCTTACTTGTTGCTGCTGCTCAGCAGTCCAGGGAGACATAGAAAGAAACAATGCAAGCACTAACAATGGTGCAACGAAATTTTGAAAAAGCCTCATGAAAGTTTCCTGAAAGTTTCCCTGCTCATCTGTGTTGGGGTCCTCTGAAATTGATAAAAAAGAAAAAGTAAAAAATGTTAAAGCTCTATACAAGCTATCTTGCAGGCAATTTCAGAGTATATTCATAGACAAGACTTGTATACATTAAAATAGAAAAATAAAGGTAGACACAGTGTCATACTTTAGTAAGCAACCTCAACATTGTATAAGCCTACAGGGCTAAGAAAATCATCCTACAAGAGAAATTTTAAAAATCCTATCTTCCAGCTTCTCACATCACATGATTGCAAGCGGAGAAGGTGTATAGAATTAAAGCCTTAAAAGATGTCAAACCGATAACTTCAGGTCCGCGAATTGATATTGATAGTATTGAAAAACTGACTTGAAAAAGGGGGGAGGAGGATCATGTACTCACCTTTGGAGTCAGATTTTTGGTCATTTTTCTTTGGAATTTCCTTCTTTTCCTTTGGGTAAAAGTTTTCATAATCTGAAGATAGAAGACATGAACAAAAAGTAAAAATTATAAGTTTATGCCAATGCAATATTCAAAATTTCTAAACGAATTTATTCATTAACTCCTCAAGCTTTTTCTCAAGGTACAAATTACAATGTCTAAACTACTTATACCAACAACCCCTTAAATCGAAGGCAATAAAAATATACTTTATTCCATTCCACTGATCCACTCACCTCAAATTAGAAAGATAATTCAATCTCGCTATTAAAAACTAATAATGTCACATTCATTAACACTTGCGAACAAATTATATAACATTGAAAATTCGAAATAAATAAAAAAATGATATATTTCGCTTACTCTTCTTCTTTGGGGCTTCACTTGAGAAAAAGCGGCGGATTCTAGGGTTAGCAAGAACGAAATTTAAATCTGACAAAAAAGCCTTTGAAGCTCCTATTGAAGATAAATATCCTCTCAAATACCCTGATCCCCCAATTAGTCGATCTACGTTTCCGTTCAAACGAGGCAAGCTCGGCGAGCGTCCACCGGTACAGCCACCTCCACCGCCACGATGGAGCAACTTCTATTTTTCAGAAAACAGATGAATAAGCGTAAAAAAATAAGAAATTGAACTGAGATAAAATATAATTAAAAAAAAAGAAAAGACTTACCCTCGAATGAGAAGATCGGGAATATGAACGGCCAAGCTTAGAAAATATCATAATTTGAACGTTGAAGGAAGAAAATGATCAGAGGTAAAATAAAACAAGATACGGAAGATTTAAGTAGAAGAAATAATATGGTGAACGGCGTCAAAAAGTCGATGCATTTGTATGAATTTCGTTTTATTGGGAAATGAAGATTATGATAAATATTAGGAACAAAGTATGGTATTGGTATAGAGATTAGCAAATGGGGTCGGTTCGTTTCCTTTCCATTTTCTTGGCAGCCAAGATACACATGTAAGGACCCAGTAGCCCATTGTTGAATTTGTTTTTAATATAATTATTTTAAAACTATTATTGTAACATTAGAGAATATATTACTTTGAATTAATATTATTTTTTATTTTAAATATCATGTATGGATTTTAATTAATATTTATAATTTGTTGGAATACATTAAAATTTCATTTATCAATAGCTTAAATTTATTTAATAGAAAATTCAGCCAATGGGCATAGGTATACCGAAGAAAACATGTTGGGCCATTGTGAATAAATGCCCTAGTTAGTAATTGGGCCGAAAATCCGTCTTTACCTGCGAATTGTCGATGGCCGCATAAGAGATTTCTTCATTTTTATCCTTAAAGAAAACAGCAAATGCTTCACCATTGATTTCCATTGTAGTTTTCTTCCTTTTGTTCAAACGAGCCATGGAAACTGCCTCAGTGCTGTTGCAGTCGATAACTATCCCTTTTGGCTTCAATTTGAAAGGCAACCAGATAATTTCTTGCAGGCATTTCAACAAACAATTTCAATGCAAGGGCTCTTATTCTCAACATAGCCTCAAACCTATTCATAACCCATCGAATTTCAGTCTTTTACCATCACCACTTCCGAAAACAACAACAACCCAGTTTTTATCTCCTCTCGAATGCTCATTTTCCAACCTTCCAAGCTCAGATTCTCGAAACCTTTTGCTTGGCCCGTTCAAAAACCTCTCTTTTGATTCACTCAAATAAACTATTTTGGAGTTAACGCCTATAAAGATTGTCAAATGGGCTGCTATTGTTTCCCTTGGAATTGCAGCTACCAAATGGACTGTTAATCTGGTTTTCAATCCATTCTTTTGGATGTACTTCAGCTGGAGTAGGTTGTTCTGACCATGGTTTGTAGCTATAGCCCTTGCTTTATATGGCTTGCATGCTTTACGAAAGCATTTGACTGGTGAGGCAAGCATTGTAGAACAACTTGCAATTGTTAGTTCAGTATTCACTTGGCTAACTCTAGTACCCCCGCCTTATTTCAATGGCTATCTTGAAGGTTGGCCCCTTGTCTTCTTCTTTGTATACCACTATTTCTTTTTCTTCAATGTTAGTGTAAGAAGACGATTGTTTGGAGATTATTATGGCCGTCCTCGTGATCCTAAGTGGGATGTGAACCCACCCAAATGGCATCGCCTTCTGTTCTGTGTTGGAGTCATGGTTGGGCACTGGCTTGCTGCGTTTGAAGCACCAGAGCTGCATCGAATCCCAGGAGGTTGGAGCAACGTTGGAATGTGGATACTGATCTTAGTAACTCTTCTGATGCAATATAGTTCAACATTGTATCTTGCAAAGTATTCAGAGAAGGTAGTGGTACCAACTGCTGTTGTCCAATTTGGGCCCTATAGGTGGGTTCGGCATCCGATATATGCATCTACGATGCTTTTATTTACTACTTATTTAACCTTGAACTAGCTTGAGATTCCAAAGTAAAATAGATACAAAAAAATCAAACAAAGGGATAACAACATATTTAACCTTTGAAAAAATATCCCTAAAACTTATCCACTAATTATGATCTTAAGAGACCTTTATTTATCCATTAATTATGTCTCACTAAAGTAAGATATTGCCAGTGGTCATATTAATCCATCTTAATCTCTGTCTATTTAAATAGCGTTTATATTTGAATCCGTACTCTCTATTTTCAACATTTTATGATTGCAACGAATTATAATCCATTAGAAAACTCTGTAAAAATTGTGGAGAGGAAGTGTCCAGGTTGCCTTGCCACCTTTGAATGTCATACAAATTCCGTAATCTTGTGCATGCTTTGATCTTATCCTTTAACCAACTACAACATGAGAAAGGCTCATTACATAAAATTCACAATATGTATAGCGAGAGATATATGACATCAAAGGTTTCAACGTTGATAGTAGAATCTTATTTTATTATAATTGAGAGAGAGAGCAAGGTTAAAATCATATACAAGAGGTATTATTAATGTACAAGAGGTATTAATGTCACTTAATCATTAGGACACTGAAATTATAAGCTAATATTTAAAAAAAAACATAGATAAGAATAAACGTACGAATTTATGTTACTGATATAAATTTAAAGAGTTATAAAAGATATGAAATTATAGAGTACTATAAATGTAAAATTAGATAAGTAATAAAAGGATATAGAAATCTAGGAAGGTACTGGCTGGCGTGCTCAAGAATATCAGGCATCTTTGAAAGTTGGATTTCTGACAAAGTAATTCCTCACATCCACATGAAAGGGCTTCTTAATTTAATTTTATACCATATTAAAAGAACCCAGGGTGTTGGGCTTTTATAATTTGTGCTTATAGAATCATCATTAGTGTATTATGTCATCACGAAAAAGCCGGAAAACCTAATTAGTCATTATCTTAATAAAAAACTGTTGTTTCTTAAACACCTGTAGTTGTAGTGGGCTAGGTATGGATGACTCTTTACGCCCTCAAGAATTGTATTCTGGTACAGAAGATTACACCCTGTATAAATCAACCTGATCTTCTTACTTTCCCCCCTCTCTATATAACTTATCCCTTCAGGGTTTTTTTTTCTTAGCATTTTGCATGGGGAGAGATCTCATGTCATGGTGGCCATGGTGATGAGTCAGTGTTTGCAGGCGCTGCATCATCAAGATTCGCAAGGTTTAGTAAAGGTCTCTCTTTTCTCGAGAGAAATGGGAATCTTGATGATGCTGCATCAGCAAACGTTTTGGCTTACCCTTGCTTTTCTCTTTCGAACAAAGGCGGCAGATTGTTTGCAGGTGATGTATAATTTTTCTTTACCATCTATTAATTCGATCAGTTTTTTTTTCCTCCTTCTTAGGTGCTTGAGGCTTAGTCTGAAAAAAATATTAGATATCCCCAACCCTTAAGACGGCTGCAACGTTCAAGATATTCCACCACGGAAGATTCAGAGGTTTTTTAGTTTAAGAAGATTTGGATATATCCCTTTTGCTTTTAGATATCTGCAACTTGTAGTGGCTTTTCTCTTCAGGGAATGGTGAATGTTGTTTCATGTTATTTTATGCTTCTTCTATGGAACGTCCTTCCGCATGCAGGTTGATACATGTCTCAGTATGATCGTGGTATTAAATTGCGGCCGCAACGCAGTGTAACGGTTTTGAAGCTCACCGCGACTCAATATTAACACAACGCAACCGCCCGCGACACCCGCAACACGTTAAAAAATCACGCCCGCGACAGTCGCAACACGTTACGAAACGTTCGCAGCATCCGCAACCGCGACAGATGCCGCAACCGCTATTTTATACTATGAGTATGATATATACTCATGCAAAATAAACATCCATACATGTATAGCATCCTGAAGAATTTAAGGGGATCAGAATGAACTAGTATCCAGATGATTAAACGTATGAAATCATAGCATACATCATTTCTTATACAAGTGTGTGGATGTATACAAGTCCCAAAATATGCTTGCAAAATTTCTGATGAAATGAAGCTTTTCTAATGTTTTTCTGTCGAATAATATTACATCTAAAAAGATTGGTTTAAACTAAGAAAAGTTTGGCTAGTTTAGAAATTGTATAAAAGTAAATAAATATTGACTTGATATAATATATTTATATATATAGATTTTGAGAACACATGAAGCACCTATATCTTCTTCCCCCCCCCTTAGACAATCAACTTTGCTGCTTAAACTTAATATTGTCAATAAGAATGGAACCAGAAACTAAGTTCAAGGACAAAGTGTAATTAGAAATAAAAATATGTTAAGTTAGAATAAGGGATTTACATTGATAAATATCTCAATTAATATTAATGATATTTTTATATATTTTTCAATATAAAAAAATTTGTGTTCAACCGCCAACCCACCAATAACGTAGGTTCGTCCTTGATTGTCGAATTTAATCATCATAAACGGAATCTTAAAACAGATTAAAGATATGATCAAAATAACAGCAATACTCAGTCTTTTTGAAAACGAACCCCAATCCTAGTACCAGACAGGCATATCATGGCACACGTGCCGTGCATATGCTTATATACACTAATACATACATGTCACAAACATGCATATACCTAAATGCTAATACATTTTTTGAACTTCGGCATGCATGATAACCTTGGAGTTCATTCAATGGCAACACAAGGACGTTCTCAGCATGTTATCAACGATGACGATCTATAAACGTTTTTAAGGTGAATATGTATCTAGTAACAATACAAAAATCTCATATGAGGTGAATAAAAATAAAATTTAAGGTAGACAGTATTGATAAAATAGAACTATCAAAAGGAAATTCAAATTTCGGGATAGACACTTGTCCACCCTTGTACCAACGTAGATCCACCATTGATTATTAAGATCCTACAGAGTATGTATTTAAATATAAAGAACACAAGAAACGATTCTAAGTGATTAAGAAAATGTTATCTTCTTTAAAAAAAATTCAGGTTTAGACAATTATATATATACACACGTGTGTGTGTGTGGGTGATACACATATACATTGAGAATATTGTAATCCTTTGACCCCCAAACTAAGGTTATTGCATTGTTGCAATGAAAAAGATAAAGCAAATTTAAATCATTTTGAGTTTAGAAATGAGAAAAAGAAACATACTTAAGTTCATTGTTTTAAAAAATGGTAAATGACAATCATCACTAAAATTTACTCTCTCTCATATTTTATTTACTGTACTTTAAATTCGTTTAATTTTTCACTGTACTTTAGAATCATTGTGGACCTAAACTCCACTGGCAATTATTTATGGAGTCCTAGGGGTGTTAAACATGTCACCCTTTATATTACCAAGCTTTTCTAACTTCGAACAAAATCTCAGACCATGATTTCCTTGTAACATATTGAGAAAAAAAACA